CCTATATATACACACATTCTCTATCACGTGTACAACCCTCCTCTTTATTTGTTCACTACATACCCAGGTTCATCGGCCGTGCCCACCTTCATGAGCACTAATGCAAGTCGATTTATATACATATATGCCTATATATACACACATACTCTATCGCGTGTACAACCCTCCTCTTTATATGTCCACTACCACACACAGGTTCATCGGTCGTGCCCACCTTCATAAACACTCAGTCTGACTCCTCACGCGGCGGGCTGAGGGATGCAGTGCGTGAGAGCATGCGTGAAACAGTGGGTAGGAATACGCGAACAGATGAAAACGTATCCGATGGCGTACGCGAGGATCTGGAGTTCAAGACTCACTTCTCAGTGCTTGTGGCGAAGATCATGGACAGCATGGCGCATGCGGGGGTTATATCCAGTATGTCAGTGTGTGTGTGTGTGTATGGGTGGGGGTGCTTGCGTGACCATGTTTTGTGTGAGTGAGTAGATATGTATGTGGGTGTATGTGTAGGTATGTGTGGGTATGTTTGTGTTCTAGTAGTAGCAGCAATCTGTGCTTGTCTTGTGTGTAGGTATACGTGTAGGTAGATATGTAGGTATATACAAAGGTGTACCTATACATACCTCATGTTCGTTGCGCTGCACCTACGGCCTATAAGTTTTAGAACATTGCTCTGCTTTGGCTGTCCTATGTCACCATTACCACTCCAGTCAACGTGTTAGAACATTGCTCTATTTTCGCTATCCTATGTACTGCATGCCAGACACCATCTGGTTTGCACATACATGCCAGTTTTCTCTCCACAAGTCCATTGCCAATCCTATTTTTTTTTGTTCACAAGGCCAATTCCTCTTTTTTTCCTCTTCACAGGTCCAATGCCAATCCCTTTTTTTTTCTCTTCACAAGCCCAATGTCAATCCCATTTTCACCCCTTCCTCGATCTTATTTCGAACCAAACAGTGTACTTTCCAGACACCATCCGCTTTGCGCTATTCCACACTTTTGGTCTGTGGAGTGGACTGGCCGGCGCACAACACACCCACGGCCGATCAGTCGCACTCACACACAACTCAGCCACAACGACAGCGGAGGGCTTCTATTTCAACCAACACTCCACCACATCAAGTATGTTGATGTGGAGGGGTGCGGGGCTGCCTCTGCCCTAACCCGTGGCTTAGTCTGTGTGTGCGTATTGTATCACCCGCAATGCCTTCGTGTGTGGGTGTTGGGTTTCATATAAAGTGTGTTCGTAAATATATGCGTTTACCTGTTACGTCATTACTTTGGGTATGGGCAGTGGCTCTGCGACATCGGTTCTGTTGGTGTCTGTGTTGCCTTGGTGTCTTCTTTATCCTACATGGTTGTATATGCATGGCTAACTAACTCCACCAAACATATATGAGTATAAGCGGGTTCT